GAGGCACAGGGGTCAGATTTTGACATCCCCTTGGTCAAATCAAACTGTTCTGCCTACTTCCTTACACGTTGCACAACAACATCACCAAACGTCATGAATGTGAGAGTACAAAAACATCACCAAGCTTTATTTCACTTACACGTTGCACAAAAACATCACCAGACCAATGTGTGAATGCTCATTGCGGTGGTAGTCTCAAGCGTAGTAACCTTTCAAACCTTGCATATCCATCCGGTCTCTCAAGATACCGTATCATTCTCAATCGTCCAACCGGAGAGGGGTCTGTCACACTGACTTAGACCGTGTTATGGAATTTTATGATCACTCAAGAAGTTTATTAACATGTAAGTCCTATAGATGTTGTTTAGGCCAACAGGCACAGAGGAAAGAATGTTTAGGATAAACCTTCTGTTCCACTGGAATTAAGTTTTATGATAGGAGACACATGGGTAATGATTTTATGACTTCGAGAAAGGAACCTGGGGAGGAAATAGATGTCACTAAGTAACTTTGCGGTGCCGGCTTGGCTGTTAGGAATTGTATGGGCATTTGTCTTTTTAATCTGATGAACACATGTGGTCTCCACTCATACTGCTTGAGGCACAGGGGTCAGATTTTGACATCCCCCTTGGTCAAATCAAACTGTTCTGCCTACTTCTAAGGACCTCATCTGTCCTCCATCAATACTGTGTGTCAATGAGTGTGCGTAACTTAATTCCTTTAAATACCCCTGCAGAAGTTCTTCTCATCAGGTCAGTCTGATCCAGCACAGGTTATTGTCCTGTTGTCTGATGAAGACTTTCCTCAAACCTATTCTTTAAGCTTGCTATAGGGATTGATCTGGTTTCTTACTTGCAATTAAACCTGTTAAAAGTGTCAACTGTATCATACTCTCGTGCGTCTTACTTTAAGTTCAAATTCAGCGATTAAAGTCTAAATTTCCACGACAACCGGTTGGATATTTTGCAATCGTCCAACCTGAGAGAGGGTCTGTCACTCTGACTTAGCCCGGTTGGATATTGTGGGTAGCCTGCCCACTCTAGGCTCCCCAGCCTGCCTTTATTTCACGTACAGGTTGCACAACAACATCACCAAACATCATAAATGTGAGAGTACAAAAACATCACCAAGCTTTATTTCAGGTACACGTTGCACAAAAACATCACCAGACCATTGTGCGATTGTCATTGCGGTGGTTGTCTCACACATATTATCAGTGGTATCCATTCAAACCTTTCGTATCCATCCATTCTCTCAAGATACCGTATCATTCTCAATCGTCCAACCGGAGAGGGGTCTGTCACACTGACTTAGCCCGGTTGGACATTTTGGGTAGCAAAATAACGTAGGCTACTGCGAACATTCATGATCTTGACATTCCAGAAAGTACGTTTTGAGCACCATTTGAAACATCAAATGGTACAGCAGCAAAAAGGAACAGACATCGTTCAAGCCAGATTTGAAACACAGCCTAAGAATCACAGCATGTAACAATTCAGTCCTCCGCTCCACCATCTGAGCTATCGAAGATGCATTCCACCAAACAAACCGTACATTTCTAGAAGCATTACAGCCAGTCAAGAAATCCAGTAAACAGAACAAATTCAGTTCAACATGTCAATTGGACTGCATAAAAGCACATACATAACCTGGGAACTGCATTTCACAAGACAAAAACCTTAAGACTTGGCCACGTAGGCTACAACGAACATTCATGAACTTGACATTCCAGAAAGTACGTTTTGAGCATATGAAACATCAAATGGTACAGCAGCAAAAAGGAACAGACATCGTTCAAGCCAGATTTGAAACACAGCCTAAGAATTACAGCATGTAACAATTCAGTCCTCCGCCCTGCCATCTGAGCTATCGAAGGTGCATTCCACCAAACAAACCGTACTTTTCTAAAAGCATTTCAGCCAGTCAAGAAATCCAGTAAACAGAACAAATTCAGTTCAACATGTCAATTGGACTGCATAAAAGCACATACATAACCTGGGAACTGCATTTCACAAGACAAAAACCTTAAGACTTGGCCACGTAGGCTACAGCGAACATTCATGGTCTTGACATTCCAGAAAGTAAGTTTTGAGCATATGAAACATCAATTGGTACAGCAGCAAAAAGGAACAGACATCATTCAAGCCAGATTTGAAACACAGCCTAAGAATCGCAGCATGTAACAATTCAGTCCTCCGCTCCACCATCTGAGCTATCGAAGGTGCATTCCACCAAACAAACCGTACATTTCTAGAAGCATTACAGCCAGTCAAGAAATCCAGTAAACAGAACAAATTCAGTTCAACATGTCAATTGGACTGCATAAAAGCACATACATAACCTGGGAACTGCATTTCACAAGACAAAAACCTTAAGACTTAGACACCTAGGCTACAGCGAACATTCATGATCTTGACATTCCAGAAAGTACGTACGTCTTGAGCATATGAAATATTGACAAAACAGCATGGAGAAGCTGTGGATTGAACCCAGGACATCATACATGCAAAGCATGCCCTGTACCTTTCTTCAAAGCAACATAAAGTGAACAAATGTGCATCCATCACAGAGAGTCAGTTGGCAGTCTTCTCTCCCTGGTGGTCTAGTGGCTAGGATTCGGCGCTCTCACCGCCGCGGCCCGGGTTCGATTCCCAGTCAGGGAAGAATGCTGTTTTGCACATTCTAACATTATTTGCCAGGATTTTTACAAGTCAAATGGTACAGCAGCAAAAAGGAACAGACATTGTTCAAGCCAGATTTGAAACACAGCCTAAGAATTACAGCATGTAACAATTCAGTCCTCCGCCCAGCCATCTGAGCTATCGAAGGTGCATTCCACCAAACAAACCGTACTTTTCTAAAAGCATTTCAGCCAGTCAAGAAATCCAGTAAACAGAACAAATTCAGTTCAACATGTCAATTGGACTGCATAAAAGCACATACATAACCTGGGAACTGCATTTCACAAGACAAAAACCTTAAGACTTGGCCACGTAGGCTACAGCGAACATTCATGATCTTGACATTCCAGAAAGTAAGTTTTGAGCATATGAAACATCAATTGGTACAGCAGCAAAAAGGAACAGACATCGTTCAAGCCAGATTTGAAACACAGCCTAAGAATTACAGCATGTAACAATTCAGTCCTCCGCTCCACCATCTGAGCTATCGAAGGTGCATTCCACCAAACAAACCGTACATTTCTAGAAGCATTACAGCCAGTCAAGAAATCCAGTAAACAGAACAAATTCAGTTCAACATGTCAATTGGACTGCATAAAAGCACATACATAACCTGGGAACTGCATTTCACAAGACAAAAACCTTAAGACTTAGACACCTAGGCTACAGCGAACATTCATGATCTTGACATTCCAGAAAGTACGTACGTCTTGAGCATATGAAATATTGACAAAACAGCATGGAGAAGCTGTGGATTGAACCCAGGACATCATACATGCAAAGCATGCCCTGTACCTTACTTCAAAGCAACATATAGTGAACAAATGTGCATCCATCACAGAGAGTCAGTTGGCAGTCTTCTCTCCCTGGTGGTCTAGTGGCTAGGATTCGGCGCTCTCACCGCCGCGGCCCGGGTTCGATTCCCGGTCAGGGAAGAATGCTGTTTTGCACATTCTAACATTATTTGCCAGGATTTTTACAAGTCAAATGGTACAGCAGCAAAAAGGAACAGACATTGTTCAAGCCAGATTTGAAACACAGCCTAAGAATTACAGCATGTAACAATTCAGTCCTCCGCTCCACCATCTGAGCTATCGAAGGTGCATTCCACCAAACAAACCGTACATTTCTAGAAGCATTACAGCCAGTCAAGAAATCCAGTAAACAGAACAAATTCAGTTCAACATGTCAATTGGACTGCATAAAAGCACATACATAACCTGGGAACTGCATTTCACAAGACAAAAACCTTAAGACTTAGACACCTAGGCTACAGCGAACATTCATGATCTTGACATTCCAGAAAGTACGTACGTCTTGAGCATATGAAATATTGACAAAACAGCATGGAGAAGCTGTGGATTGAACCCAGGACATCATACATGCAAAGCATGCCCTGTACCTTTCTTCAAAGCAACATAAAGTGAACAAATGTGCATCCATCACAGAGAGTCAGTTGGCAGTCTTCTCTCCCTGGTGGTCTAGTGGCTAGGATTCGGCGCTCTCACCGCCGCGGCCCGGGTTCGATTCCCGGTCAGGGAAGAATGCTGTTTTGCACATTCTAACATTATTTGCCAGGATTTTTACAAGTCAAATGGTACAGCAGCAAAAAGGAACAGACATTGTTAAGCCAGATTTGAAACACAGCCTAAGAATTACAGCATGTAACAATTCAGTCCTCCGCTCCACCATCTGAGCTATCGAAGGTGCATTCCACCAAACAAACCGTAAATTTTTAGAAGCATTACAGCCAGTCAAGAAATCCAGTAAACAGAACAAATTCAGTTCAACATGTCAATTGGACTGCATAAAAGCACATACATAACCTGTGAAATGCATTTCACAAGACAAAACCCTTAAGACTTGGCCACCTAGGCTATAGTGAACATTCATGATCTTGACATTCCAGAAAGTACGTACGTCTTGAGCATATGAAACAATGACAAAACAGCATGGAGAAGCTGGGGATTGAACCCAGGACATCATACATGCAAAGCATGCGCTCTACCACTGAGCTACATCCCCCGACATGCCCTAAGTAAGCAGAGTAGATCTCAGTATATCCAATCTGTGAAACGTAAATGCAACACTGGCCCCTGTCTTTCTTCAAAGCAACATAAAGTGAACAAATGTACATCCATCCCAGAGGGTCAGTAGGCAGTCGTCTCTCCCTGGTGGTCTAGTGGCTAGGATTCGGCGCTCTCACCGCCGCGGCCCGGGTTCGATTCCCGGTTAGGGAAGAATGCTGTTTTGCACATTCTAACATTATTTCCCAGGATTTTTACAAGTCAAATGGTACAGCAGCAAAAAGAACAGACATCGTTCAAGCCAGATTTGAAACACAGCCTAAGAATTACAGCATGTAACAATTCAGTCCTCCGCCCTACCATCTGAGCTATCGAAGGTGCATTCCACCAAACAAACCGTACATTTCTAAAAGCATTACAGCCAGTCAAGAAATCCAGTAAACAGAACAAATTCAGTTCAACATGTCAATTGGACTGCATAAAAGCACATACATAACCTGTGAACTGCATTTCACAAGACAAAAACCTTAAGACTTGGCCACGTAGGCTACAGCGAACATTCATGATCTTGACATTCCAGAAAGTAAGTTTTGAGCATATGAAACATCAATTGGTACAGCAGCAAAAAGGAACAGACATCATTCAAGCCAGATTTGAAACACAGCCTAAGAATCGCAGCATGTAACAATTCAGTCCTCCACTCCACCATCTGAGCTATCGAAGGTGCATTCCACAAGACAAACCGTACATTTCTAGAAGCATTACAGCCAGTCAAGAAATCCAGTAAGCAGAACAAATTCAGTTCAACATGTCAATTGGACTGCATAAAAGCACATACATAACCTATGAACTGCATTTCACAAGACAAAAACCTTAAGACTTAGACACCTAGGCTACAGCGAACATTCATGATCTTGACATTCCAGAAAGTACGTACGTCTTGAGCATATGAAACATCGGCAAAACAGCATGGAGAAGCGGCGGATTGAACCCAGGACATCATACATGCAAAGCATGCGCTCTACCACTGAGCTACAACCCCTGACATGCCCTGACAAAGCAGAGTAGATCTCAGTTTATCCAATCTGTGAAAGTTAAATGCAACACTGGCCCCTGTCATTTTCAAAGCAACATAAAGTGAACAAATTTGCATCGATCCCAGAGGGTCAGTAGGCAGTCGTCTCTCCCTGGTGGTCTAGTGGCTAGGATTCGGCGCTCTCACCGCCGCGGCCCGGGTTCGATTCCCGGTCAGGGAAGAATGCTGTTTTGCACATTCTAACATTATTTCCCAGGATTTTTACAAGTCAAATGGTACAGCAGCAAAAAGGAACAGACATTGTTCAAGCCAGATTTGAAACACAGCCTAAGAATTACAGCATGTAACAATTCAGTCCTCCGCTCCACCATCTGAGCTATCGAAGGTGCATTCCACCAAACAAACCGTACATTTCTAGAAGCATTACAGCCAGTCAAGAAATCCAGTAAACAGAACAAATTCAGTTCAACATGTCAATTGGACTGCATAAAAGCACATACACAACCTGGGAACTGCATTTCACAAGACAAAAACCTTAAGACTTGGCCAGGTAGGCTACAACGAACATTCATGAACTTAACATTCCAGAAAGTACGTTTTGAGCATATGAAACATCAAATGGTACAGCAGCAAAAAGGAACAGACATCGTTCAAGCCAGATTTGAAACACAGCCTAAGAATCACAGCATGTGACAATTCAGTTCTCCGCTCCACCATCTGAGCTATCGAAGGTGCATTCCACCAAACAAACCGTACATTTCTAGAAGCATTACAGCCAGTCAAGAAATCCAGAAACAGAACAAATTCAGTTCAACATGTCAATTGGACTGCATAAAAGCACATACATAACCTGGGAACTGCATTTCACAAGACAAAAACCTTAAGACTTGGCCACCTAGGCTATAGTGAACATTCATGATCTTGACATTCCAGAAAGTACGTACGTCTTGAGCATATGAAACAATGACAAAACAGCATGGAGAAACTGGGGATTGAACCCAGGACATCATACATGCAAAGCATGCGCTCTACCACTGAGCTACATCCCCTGACATGCCCTGACTAAGCAGAGTAGATCTCAGTATATCCAATCTGTGAAACTTAAATGCAACACTGGCCCCTGTCATTTTCAAAGCAACATAAAGTTAACAAATTTGCATCGATCCCAGAGGGTCAGTAGGCAGTCGTCTCTCCCTGGTGGTCTAGTGGCTAGGATTCGGCGCTCTCACCGCCGCGGCCCAGGTTTGATTCCCGGTCAGGGAAGAATGCTGTTTTGCACAATCTAACATTATTTGCCAGGATTTTTACAAGTCAAATGGTACAGCAGCAAAAAGGAACAGACATTGTTCAAGACAGATTTGAAACACAGCCTAAGAATTACAGCATGTAACAATTCAGTCCTCCGCTCCACCATCTGAGCTATCGAAGGTGCATTCCACCAAACAAACCGTAAATTTTTAGAAGCATTACAGCCAGTCAAGAAATCCAGTAAACAGAACAAATTCAGTTCAACATGTCAATTGGACTGCATAAAAGCACATACATAACCTGGGAACTGCATTTCACAAGACAAAAACCTTAAGACTTAGACACCTAGGCTACAGCGAACATTCATGATCTTGACATTCCAGAAAGTACGTACGTCTTGAGCATATGAAATATTGACAAAACAGCATGGAGAAGCTGTGGATTGAACCCAGGACATCATACATGCAAAGCATGCCCTGTACCTCTCTTCAAAGCAACATAAAGTGAACAAATGTGCATCCATCACAGAGAGTCAGTTGGCAGTCTTCTCTCCCTGGTGGTCTAGTGGCTAGGATTCGGCGCTCTCACGCCGCGGCCCGGGTTCGATTCCCGGTCAGGGAAGAATGCTGTTTTGCTCATTCTAACCGTATTTGCCAGGATTTTTACAAGTCAAATGGTACAGCAGCAAAAAGAACAGACATCGTTCAAGCCAGATTTGAAACACAGCCTAAGAATTACAGCATGTAACAATTCAGTCCTCCGCCCTGCCATCTGAGCTATCGAAGGTGCATTCCACCAAACAAACCGTACATTTCTAAAAGCATTACAGCCAGTCAAGAAATCCAGTAAACAGAACAAATTCAGTTCAACATGTCAATTGGACTGCATAAAAGCACATACATAACCTGTGAAATGCATTTCACAAGACAAAAACCTTAAGACTTGGCCACGTAGGCTACAGCGAACATTCATGATCTTGACATTCCAGAAAGTAAGTTTTGAGCATATGAAACATCAATTGGTACAGCAGCAAAAAGGAACAGTCATCATTCAAGCCAGATTTGAAACACAGCCTAAGAATTACAGCGTGTAACAATTCAGTCCTCCGCTCCACCATCTGAGCTATCGATGGTGCATTCCACAAAACAAACCGTACATTTCTAGAAGCATTACAGCCAGTCAAGAAATCCAGTAAACAGAACAAATTCAGTTCAACATGTCAATTGGACTGCATAAAAGCACATACATAACCTATGAACTGCATTTCACAAGACAAAAACCTTAAGACTTAGACACCTAGGCTACAGCGAACATTCATGATCTTGACATTCCAGAAAGTACGTACGTCTTGAGCATATGAAATATGAACACGTTCTCCTCCCAGCTGTACTCGGATGCCGGGAAACACAAGCTCTTTTTTGCCCTGCTCGCTGCCCACTGGGCTCAGAAACACACTGTCCCTGGCCTTTCCCCCTGTCTTCGGGTGTCAGAAACACGTTCTCCTCCCAGCTGTACTCAGGTGCCAGGAAACACAAGCTCTTTTTAGCCCTGCTCGTTGCCCTCTGTTCTCAGAAACACACTGTCCTTCGCCATCGCCGCTGTCTTTGGGTGTCAGAAACACGTTCTCCTCCCAGATGTACTCGTGTCCCTGGAAACATAAGCTCTTTTTTGCCCTGCTCGCTGACCTCTGGGCTCAGAAACACACTGTCCTTTGTTGGTCTCACTGTCCTTTTCTGGACTCAGAAACACACTGTCCCTGGCCTTTCCCACAGTCTTTGGGTGTCAGAAACACGTTCTCCTCCCAGCTGTACTCGGGTGCCGGGAAACACAAGCTCTTTTTTGCCCTGCTCGCTGCCCACTGGGCTCAGAAACACACTGTCCCTGGCCTTTCCCCCTGTCTTCGGGTGTCAGAAACACGTTCTCCTCCCAGCTGTACTCGGCTCCCGGGAAACATAAGCTCTTTTTTGCCCTGCTCGCTGACCTCTGGGCTCAGAAACACACTGTCCTTTGTTGGTCTCACTGTCCTTTTCTGGTCTCAGAAACACACTGTCCCTGGCCTTTCCCACAGTCTTTGGGTTTCAGAAACACGTTCTCCTCCCAGCTGTACTCGGGTGCCGGGAAACACAAGCTCTTTTTTGCCCTGCTCGCTGCCCACTGGGCTCAGAAACACACTGTCCCTGGCCTTTCCCCCTGTCTTCGGGTGTCAGAAACACGTTCTCCTCCCAGCTGTACTCAGGTGCCAGGAAACACAAGCTCTTTTTAGCCCTGCTCGTTGCCCTCTGTTCTCAGAAACACACTGTCCTTCGCCATCGCCGCTGTCTTTGGGTGTCAGAAACACGTTCTCCTCCCAGATGTACTCGTGTCCCTGGAAACATAAGCTCTTTTTTTGCCCTGCTTGCTGACCTCTGGGCTCAGAAACACACTGTCCTTTGTTGGTCTCACTGTCCTTTTCTGGTCTCAGAAACACACTGTCCCTGGCCTTTCCCCCTGTCTTTGGGTGTCAGAAACACGTTCCCCTCCCAGCTGTACTCGGCTCCCGGGAAACACAAGCTCTTTTTTGCCCTGCTCGCTGCACTCTGGTCTCAGAAACACACTGTCCTTCGCCATCGCCGCTGTCTTTGGGTGTCAGAAACACGTTCTCCTCCCAGATGTACTCGTGTCCCTGGAAACATAAGCTCTTTTTTGCCCTGCTCGCTGACCTCTGGGCTCAGAAACACACTGTCCTTTGTTGGTCTCACTGTCCTTTTCTGGTCTCAGAAACACACTGTCCCTGGCCTTTCCCACAGTCTTTGGGTGTCAGAAACACGTTCTCCTCCCAGCTGTACTCAGGTGCCAGGAAACACAAGCTCTTTTTAGCCCTGCTCGTTGCCCTCTGTTCTCAGAAACACACTGTCCCTTGCCATCGCCACTGGCTTCGGGTGTCAGAAACACGTTCTCCTCCCAGCTGTACTCGGGTGACAGGAAACACAAGCTCTTTTTTGCCCTGCTCGCTGACCTCTGTTCTCAGAAACACACTGTCCCTGGCCTTTCCCCCTGTCTTTGGGCGTCAGAAACACGTTCTCCTCCCAGCTGTTCTCGGCTCCCGGGAAACACA